CACCCCCAGCACCCTGCGCTCCGCAGCACCCTGCACGCTGCAGCACCCGCTGCCCAGCATCCCCATGCTCCGCCCTGCAGCCCTGGGTGAGCACCCACCCCTGTGCACCCCCGCCCGGCATCACCCCCTGCCCCAGCGCTGAGCACCCACCCGCAGCACCCCACTGTGCTGCCGAAGCGGTGGCCGGGCTGGGCACGGCGTGCGGGGGCACCGCTGCAGGTGCCATTTTGCAGGGGAGATGCAGGAGAGGCTGCAGTGCCCTGGCTGCCAGCTGCACCCCTGCCAGGGTCACGGACTCCCCCGTGACAGCAAACGCCGGGGTCTGTGCACCCCGTGTTTGCTGTGGGCACCTTCTGGGGGTGCCCCGCATCGGGGGTGACAGGAGCTGGCCCGGCAAAACCCTTCAGGGACAATCCTGGGGCCGAGTGACCCCACTGGTGGCAGCGCGCCTTGCCCCGGTGCTGCTCACCCATCCCGAATCAAAATATGACTCAACCGTGGGAAATGGCTTCGGACCGTGGCACCGGTGCCAGCTGGGGCCCGGCATCGCGTGAGTTTGCAGCCGCCACCCTGGCCGTTGCCGCACCGTCACCGTCACGGCCTCTCCTCCGCCTTGCAGATGGCGTCCGCTACCGATTCCCGCTATGGGCAGAAGGAATCCTCGGACCAGAACTTTGACTACATGTTCAAGATCCTGATCATCGGCAACAGCAGCGTGGGGAAAACCTCCTTCCTCTTCCGGTACGCCGACGACTCCTTCACGCCTGCCTTCGTCAGCACCGTCGGCATCGACTTCAAGGTCAAGACCATCTACCGGAATGACAAGCGCATCAAGCTGCAGATCTGGGTGAGGCGCCCCGGGGGTCCCCGCCGGTCCCCACGCCGGCACAGGGGTGCGTGGCAGGGGGCGGACGGTTGGTGTGGGGCTGCTCTGCCGTTTGCCGGGGCTGGAAGCGCTGGGGGTGATGCCGAGGGTGCCCCCAGCCCCGGCTGGGCTGCAGCGTTGGTGGGGAGGGACGCGTCCCCGGGGACCCCGCTGTCCCCTGGTGCACCCCGAGGGGTGGCTGGACCCTGCAAACCACCGGCGTCCCCACGTCCCCGGGGGTGACGTGCCGCTCTCCGCCCCTCCCCAGGACACAGCCGGCCAGGAGCGGTACCGCACCATCACCACCGCCTACTACCGCGGCGCCATGGGCTTCATCCTGATGTACGACATCACCAACGAGGAGTCCTTCAACGCTGTGCAGGACTGGTGAGCGCCCGGACGGGCTCTGGGGTCCCCCCATAACCGTCCCCCCCCTTAGGGGCGTCCCCCCGGCACCGTGCTCTGCCCCCGCCTGATTTCCCCCTTTGCCTTTCCCAAAGGTCCACCCAGATCAAGACCTACTCCTGGGACAACGCCCAGGTCCTGCTGGTGGGGAACAAATGTGACATGGAGGACGAGCGCGTCGTCTCCTCGGAGAAGGGCCGCCAGCTCGCCGAGCACCTGGGTGAGTGGGGGGGCCACGCCGGCGCAGCCATCGTCCCACAAATAATTTAATTAGGGGCTTAATTCCCTCGCTGTAATTCTTCTGCTTCAATAGCAGTGGTGACTTGTCACCTAACGAAAAAAAGAGCTGTAATTAAGCCACGAGCTGCAGGGTGCGATGCCGGTTTCTGTTACAGCCCCGTAAACCCGCCACCGGCTGCCGAGAGGTGCCGGGAAGGGAAAATTGGGCGTCCCCGGGTGGGTGCAGAGGCAGGTCGCAGCCGGGTGGTCCAGGCGTGCGGCACAAGCAGCCCTTCAATATTTAACGAAGGGAGGAGGAGCTGGAAAAGGTTTCGAATGTTGGGCGGCTGGATGCAGGGCTGCAGCGGGGTGGGGGTTTGCAGCCCTGATGTCGTCGTTGTTGTCGTGTCCGTCCCTGTTCCCCCCCGCCCCCCCTCCAGGTTTTGAGTTTTTCGAGGCCAGCGCCAAGGACAACATCAACGTCAAGCAGACCTTCGAGCGGCTGGTGGGGCCACACCCCGCACAGAGGGGGGAGGGGCCGGGCGCCGCCGGTGCCG